GGGGGTGCAATTAAAAAAAAAAAAATATTTCTGCCATGACTTTAATTAAAAAAAAAAAAAAACAACATTTATAATAATTTCGATTATCTGTGAATAGTTTCTGAAAGTTTCATTAACATCTGACAATTATTTTTATTTTTGCAAGATTTTCCAAATTAATGTGTGTCATACAAAAAAAATGTGCTAAAAATTGTATGTTATTTTACTGGTTCCGGTGATACAAAGAGAAACAAGGTTTTTTTTAATCAAAATTTAGAATGTTCTAAAAAATAATTAAAATAAACTTTGATCTTTCCTCTTAATAATAACATAAGCATTTGGACGATAAAATTTTGTTTTCGTTAAGTTTGGCGTCTTTTTCATCATGCTGTGCTCTTTTTTTTAGCGATCTCATGGAGGTACCTAAGTAAAGAACTGTTTTGTTGACAGTTTTTTCAGTATGGATGATTTTATAGATTTTACTGATAATCAGAAAAATAAAATCATGCCAATAAATTTAAATTCAGTTTGAAATACAGCAAAATAATCGTTTATATTAAATTTAATCAATTAACTTGAAACTAAAATAAAAGCTTGAAGATTTTTCATTTTTTTTAAATGTATTTTAAACCTTAGCTATAGCTTTCTTTGGTGGTGGGGTATTTTACAGTTATTGTTAAATAATAAACAAATTTAAAAAACAACTATACAAGTGAATCAATGTTTTTCAATGCAAAAAGATGTGGTCACCTGTTGAGGTGAGAAAAACAAATTTTTAAAACAAAATTTCAAAGGTTCTAAAAAGGATCAAAAAATATAATTTAATAAATTAATAATCAAAATATTACATACTTCCACAGATTTAGGATACCAAAGGTTTAAAATGAATTTTTAAAAATGAAAAGTCTTTCTTGGAGCTTTTATTTCAGTTTAAATCTCAAGCGAGTGAATAGATTAAATTTAATATATTTCCAAGAAGCAAAATACTTTGCAAATATTTCAAAACTAATTTAAATTATTTGGAAGTTTTTTGTTTTCTTTTGCTTAAAAAAAAAAAAAAAAAATTTCAGCGCACATTTTACCACTTGTTTATTGAAATAAAATTCACTTTATTAAAAAAAAATCTTCCAAAAATAAAATATACTTTTCTGAAACTTTGTTTGAGAAATATTAGCTGATATATTAGCATAACTAATCTGATTTGAAACAAATATTTACTTTAAGTTTAAAATAATGCAGAAATCCATTTTTTTTAACATGACACAAGCTGGTTATTTAAGACGTTAACAGCTTGATCACAGATGGATGTTTATCGAATGTTTTTCTACAAAATAAAGAATATAATGTGAGAACCTTTTTTATATAATTTTTAAGTATTCCGTAATCTTAAAAATGTTGGCTTTAAATTTGCTCTTATTTCATGATAATGTTGTGTACGGGCATCCATATCTACAAAAATCAGCAAGTTTAAGCACAAAAATATTAAAAATTCTTTTAAAATATTGGTGTTTGGTGATTTGTACTAAGCTTTTTCATTTATGATTAGTAAATATAGTTTTTATTTTATAACTAACGAGTCAAAGTAATGCAGAAATTTAAAAGATTTTTAAACTTTATAAGTTATTCTAAAAAAAAAAAAAAAAAAAAAAAAATCAATTTTTTTAAAAATTCAATAGTCATCAAAAACATTGTTTTCTTAAGACAATTATGTCTTTCAGTTGTATGCCATGTATGATACACACATAGGCGATCATGTATCTTACGATACATGACTGACAAGGCATTTTTTTTTTTTTTTTTTTACCATTGTTGCCATTTCTTTCTGCAGTAGACCAGTTGCCATCCAAGGCTATAAAACCCGGTTTGTCCTGCTATTTACCCATAGCTGGGGAGATAAGAAGAGGATTCATACCTTTCCCAAGGGTATTAGCACGTAAGTCAGTGGATCTCAACCTTTTTTTACCCATGGACCCCTTTCCCCTTCTTTTTATCTTGGTGGACCCCTTCATAGCTATTGGACATAAGAACAATTTTCTATTCTTCACTAATATAAATTTTAAGGTTTTAATTATCAAAGAAATAGTATACGATTAAGCTTTATTTTTAAATGAAAACTAATTTAATACAAATAAAATATTCTACTATAATTATAATAATAATTATTATTACTATTTTTAATTAACACAACAATTGAGTTTTGCCTGTGGACCCCCGGAAATATTACATGGACCCCTAGGGTCCATGTAGACCCCGGTTGAGAACCACTGACGTAAGTGAATGTAATGGATTCGACTGGAATTTGAACACAACTCTCCAATTCCTCAATCCGAGTTGCTATCCATTACTCCACTGTGCCTCCTATTATGCCCTTACTATATCTTAAATTATAAAAGCAATTAAAAAAAGTAATGTCATAGTTTTATTCCAATTTTTTTTTTTATTTTAAAATTCAGTATAAATTTTTGGTAATTGGTGTTTCTGCTTTTACAATATTGATGATTTAAATTCTCCAAGGATTTCTGCTTTTAACATTAAGAAGGTCAAAATTTAATTTCTCAAAATTTCTTAAATGAGAGGTAACATGTAAAAAAGAAAAAAATTACGAAGATTTTCTAAAAACACCAAAAACATTTCTAAAAAAATAATTTCACTCATTTTATGAGAAGTCCTGAAAGTTTCATTAGAATATGACAATCTTGAATTTTGCAAGAATTTCCAAATTAATGTTTTTGTAAAAGCAAAAATGACGGTAAAATTTCCTATACGAAAAAAAAAAAAAAAAAAAAAAAAGATTTTTACGTAAATTTTCGAACGTGCTAAAAAGGATTTGAAAATTTAATTAAAAAAAAAAAAAAATTGTTAATAAAGATTTTGGTGATACTTTGTTTTTATCAAGTTTGGGGCATTTTTTTTCACCATGATATGCTCTTTTTTCATCGAATTAGTGGAGATATCTACAAAAAATCCTTTGTTCTTTTTTTCCTCTTCTTAATAATAACAAAAATCTTGAAACTTTTTTAAAGTATGGTCATTCTTTCTTTAGCGAATTTTTGGAGGTACCTAAACCTTTAAAAAAGCCTTAAGGCTTTCTTTATGTATCACTTTTTTGCTGAGAAGAGGTACCTACTATCAATTAATATATTTTTTATCTTATTTTGCTTTGTTGTTTAACAACACTATCGTTTTTTCCCTGTGAGATCGTTCTTCTTATTTGAATAATAATGCATAACCGAAATGAAAAATACAAATAATGGATACAGATACGAAGAATATGGCTGTAAATTCTCAGAATTATAAAATTACTGAAAAAAAAAAAAAAGAAAAAGAAAAAAGAGCAACAACAACGAAGTAACTAAGAATCGTGATCAACAACTTAAAAATGTTCAACTTTCTAAACTTCATACTGGTTCAGTACATGTGCCATCACTTGATTTATTTTCTGTGGTGAGAAATGCCACTGTCAGTCACACGCACAATGCCAGTCTTGGAGAGAGAAAAAAAAAACGGTAAATAAACCAGACATACGATAAAGTGAAACAAACTAAATGATCAGCCTTAATCTAAAAATTGAATTTATAGAATTAGATTTAGATTCGTACTCGTGGATAAAGTAATTAATTTTAGTACAAGCAATTATCAAATCTGCGTCGTGTGGTCGGCCCGTAATTTGCTACGTTCTACGAGATAGCCAGTGTCATTGACAGGTGTGGCTTACGATTAGTTGTCATATAATACCTGGAATGGAAAAAATAATATTAAACTTACGTTATCGGCAATTACTGACGCAATATACAACATTAATAATAGAAACTAATATTGTTTTGATTTTTTTTTAAAGCTTGAAAATAAAATGTAGAAAAGGAAAAAAGATATACAATACATCGTTTAAAAAAACAACACTACTTACTATCATTTAGAACTGAATAAGTCTTTCTTTTCCTAGTTTAAAAAAAAATCAACACAGACTTTAACTAAAAAACATCCAAATGGTGTAACTAACATTGAGCATAATAATTGAATGAAATGATCATTATGGTAGTAGATCATCAATTCAGTGAAAAGAGGGTGTTTTAGTTCTGTTTTGTGATTGTGACTCGTGCTTGCCACTACTACAACAAAACTACATCGAAAATTGTTTATGCTAATTGCTAAATCTTTCTTATAAAACAAAAATATTTCAATATCACCAAAAACATCAATCAACTTAGATTAAAGTTTTAAAAACTAAAGAATGCAACTTAAATGTTGTATTCACAGTAGTACACAAGAATACAGACGTTAACTATTTTTTTTCTACTGGAAAGCCGAAATAAGTTTTAGAAACTTCTACAAAACTTGAAATATTACTTCTGTACACAACACTAAACAGGCGTAAATAAAATCTAAGCAAAACAGTAATTTGATCTATCCTTGAATAAGAAGTGTTCGAAATTTAAAAAAAAAAAAACCTTTCAGTTTCAATTAGAAACTGGAATATAAAAAAGCTAAAAAAAAAAAAAACAATTGATTATGCACGTGAAAAAGGAAAGAATGCGATCTGAAATTAAATTGACATAAATGCCTGAAAGTGATAATTAAATTTTTACAATTTTCAAATTTTCGCGTTAGCTTTAAAAAATTTTAATACTACCTTAAAAAATAAAAATAAATCAATTTTTTTCTTTTTTTACAATGGACGTGAGAAAATATATTGGAGCCAATTTAAAAACTTGCATGGATGTGCGAATTTGACGAAAAAGACAATCAAAGGCTGGTAACAAAAATATTTCGCATATAAAAAGATTTTAAAGGATGGTAACAGTTAGAGATGACATTTTCACTCATCCCTCCAACTTCCAAGAAATGAGAAACCAGACTCAAAAAAAAAACAAAAAAAAAACTGAAAAGACTTCATCATCGGCCTGAACACACACGCACATCTGACTTAAGTGGTTAAGATAGAAAAAGTGTTCTCAAACAACAACAGCTGATAGACTTATAAGACAATTCATAGAAGTGTTTCCATTATTCTTTGCACTTACCTGTAAGAGGACATCTTGACTCAGTCCGGACAATCTAAATAGATCAGATGCTTTAGAGCCGGTCACTTTACCAGACCCATCGATATCACAGTTCTGGAAAAGTTCCCCGTAGTATGTCTGCTCCTGTTCGGCCAACTTCACACCTTCCATGGTTTTAATTTCGAGGGTGGGGAGAAATTTTTACGTCTTTTTTTTCTTTTAGATTAGTCCTAGTTACAGGCTGATATCTGTCGGGTGCTGTCAGCTATAACACGACGGCCGACAAAACAATAATAATAATAATATAGGAGTCTAACCCAGGAAGAGCAAAAAGATATAGAGAGAAACGACACAGACAGCAGTTTATAACACGATTAAGTTTTTTTCTATGTTGATTGACTTCATAGTCTCATATCCTGTTGCAGATATAGATATACGACATCATGTCGTATCATTAGGTGGCTGTTTGTGGCCTTTAATTTGTATTATAAGGCAGGCCAAAATGCGGACAGTGGCTCATTGTATTAACATTAGCAGCAGGCCACGCCATATTGGTTGGTAAAGTACCCGGATGATAAGCCCGCATATTATGCACCAAGGCCAGATTTTTTTTCACACTAAAATTGTAAAAGAAAAAAAAACTCTTCTAAATTACAAAATAAAATCACTCAAACCAAAAATAAATTAAAACATAAATAAACCATTTTCATTTTTTATTTTTATTTTAATTATTTTTAGTTCTAATTTCAATTATTTGCTCCCGGATTCCGTGTGACAATGTTTTTAAGTAAAATTCGTAACTTGAACAAACATACTGAAATTAATTCCGTTTCAATTTTGATTCTTTGATTACATAAAAAAAACTAACGTGCAGTGTAAATATATAAAAGCTTGATATTTTTTTCGAAGTTGTTGAAATAATCATGGCAAATGCGTAACAATAAACATGTTGTTTAGAAGGTTTAAAAATAAGATACAACTTTATGCGAAGCAAAATCATTAATTCATTCATAGAATTTGTTACGAAATTTGTATATAGTTTATTATATCGCAAGAAAATAACATTTTTATCCAACTAATTTCATTTTTATAGGGACTCAAATCAAAACAAGATACTTGGGTCATCACGATAGACATGTGAGATTATCGACAATTTCGTTAATCATCGGATTCAGTTTTTAAACCACTTCTTTATCATCTAATATGAAATATAATCATTATAGACTATATAAAATAACTAAACAAAATGTTATATAATTTTTTAAATTTCATAATATTAAAAACATATTCATCAATAATTATACCCATCATGCCAATGGGTTGAAAAAATTGGCGCGAGTTAGTTTGTGTGCGTGTGTGCGCATGTGTCCTTTGTTGTCTGCAGCTTGATTCAAAATGACGGATAAGGATGGTGGTAAGAATTAGCTTTTATTTTAGACTACTTAAGTAATTGTTTTATCTTGAATAGGTACGTTGCAACGATTATTACAAAGCTTTTGTTTGCTTCCTCTTTGTAAATTGTTGTAATTTTGAAATTTTATTAAAGTAAAATATCTACTTTCTTCCTTCCTTACTGATATTATTAGTCACTAAACATGGAAGCTTTCTTCCTCTTTTTTTCTGCTTTTAATTTGTATTTATTTACAATAAATACGAGTGCTAATTAATTATTTGTAATAAAAGCCTTTGATTTCTCAATCTATTGATCTTATGCGTAAATATTGAAACTTAAAATAATTTATTTTTAACATTCTGCAATGTGTACATTTAATTTCTCTATTTTCCCTCCCTTTTAGTTTTAACTTTTAATAACGTGATCGTATTTTTAATTAAATTTTCAACTAAACTTTAAAAAAAAAATATTACCGAATTCTGATTTTGTTCAATGATCACTTTCTGTGAAAAGATGATTTTGTTTTGGATTTTAATCGGTGTTGATCGCTTTTTAAGCTTGTTTTTTTTTTTCTTGTGTGCGCGTATGTGTGAATAATAATCGTTGTTGGTGCGTGCATGTTCGTCCCTTCTTTATCCGTTCGTCTTAGTTGGTGTCCGCCATAATGGCTTCTCTTTTCTTTCCTTTCCCTCCGCTGCCGTCATTTTCTCTCCCTAAACACCCTAAAAGCCGATTAATATTGACCCTGCAGAAAAACCTTCCTAATGGCTGGAGTTGGAAAGCTCTAAACTTGTTTTAGTAGCGTTAAGTTCAACGAGTAACATTTAAGATTGATCGGTTACCAAAGAATATTAGCGAAATGTCTACCACCGAAAATTCGATAAGAACAAGAGCCTGATAAATATAACTTTCGATCTTATATATATATATATATATATATATATATATATATATATATATATTTTTAAGCCATTTTAAATCTAGTTAAAATTATCTTTTTAAACTCTGGGATTTTTTTCTCTTAACGTTTGTTTTTATTTGCATTTTGAAATTTTCTGTTAAAGTGCAAAATTGAATTAAAATGCATTTACATTAAAATTCTTAAGTTAAAAAAAATTAACAAAACTACGTATGATGTCATTTTTGTCGTTCTTATGAATTTCTTTATGGAAGGAAATAATTTAACTTTTTAGTTTTTATACACAAATATTTCGCACTTTCATGAGTAGATAATGTCATGATATGCGGAAATAAAATTAAAAAACTGGATTGAACTTTTTTTCTTTTTTCAACAAACTTTACTTTATAAAGATCACATGTTCCCAATTACTTCTGTTATAGAAAAGTAATTTTTTTCTTTTGTCTTTTAAACCGCCACCGCGCTTTTTTCTTTTTAACAAATAAAATCTCTTCCTGGACTAAGATTTTTTTTTTATTTAATTAATTTCAAAAGTTCAAAAACGAAACTTAAAAAAAAAAAAATGTTCCTCTTTGTATGTGCGCGCACGTGAACAAGTGTTACTGTTCACTTAGTTTTATTTTTTGCCAAACTTTTTTCCCGAGATTAGGAAATTTATTCGTTAATTTCGTTTTTTTTTTTTTTTTCTTTATCGGATAAAATAAAAATATAGAATTTCTTGATTCTATAACTTTTTTTAATTTTGATTTTATTTTGTTTATGCATACAAAGGGGTAACTAAAACTCCCTAAAATTTAGACTGTCAGCAATTATTATTGTTTTCGGCTCAGCACACATCCTTTCACGGTAAATGTTATATTTTCTTCAATTAAGTGTCAATCAATTCAAAGAAGGATGTCAACAATTCACTCGCTACAATTTCAGTTACTTGACTGAAAAAGTGATTCCGCCTGGAATGTAATGACGTCATCAGACTGCCCGCGACAAACGTATTATTACTAGTTGCTTTACAGTTCTAGGCGGGACCACTATTACAAACAAGAACTAAAATTTTACTCAAGCTAATTCTGAGTGGGTATCGTTATTTTCATGAAGTAATTAATAAAAACTAAAAAGTAAATAAATTTTAAGGAACAATTCCGTTAATGGTTGGATGGTTTATAACTTGTGTCAAAATCTGATTTGTTTGTGTGTCTTCTTTGCCATATTGTTGATTGTAAATGAGAACTACAAATTTTTGTCAAGAATTTGTTTGATTTGATATATTGAGTAAAAATGGTAAAAATTGCTTTATAATATTCTCAGCCGTGTCTTGATAGCTGAAATTCATGTGTTCATAAATTTGACCAATTCAAAATTCTTTATCTCTCTTTTTTTTCTTTTTTTTTTTTTTTTTAACACTTTGATTAGTCAGTGAAAAATGCTTATATAAAATCTCGACTTAAATTTTCAACATTTTGTTGTGGTCTTTCAAAACTAATTTAAATTGACTGGAAGGGGGTTTTCATTTTGAAATTGTCGATTTTAGCGCTATTTTTAGTCATTTTTCATCAAAATATATAGTTTATTAAAAAAAATTTCAAAAAATAAAGTACTTTTCTGAAACTTTATTTGAGAAATATCTGATTTTAAAGTTTAAAATTTTGATTTGACATATTATTTACTTTAGGTTTAAATATTGCAGAAATGCATTTTTTTAACAAGCCAGTAGTTGTTGACAGATGGAAGTTTATCTCCTGTTTTTCTACAGTGCTCATAACATGAGCACCTTTTATTTATGTTTTTATTATATATATGAGAGGCCAAGTGGTTAAAATGTTCTCTTTCTGACCATGAGACCTTGGTTTGAATCTCATCACGGGTGATTTGTCAGGAAGGTGACTTCTTGATGTTATTGGTCTGGAGAGGGGGTTGATCCCAGCATGCGGCACCTTTAGAAAGTGCCTGAAAATCATACCATGGGTTGATCCAAGCTTAGTGGTAAATTTCATTCTCAAAATCTGTTTTTAAAAGCAGGACTCTTTGGTGAATTTAAATTATCAGTTTCTTTTTGTAAAAAAAAAAATTAAAATAAAAAACGCTACCCAAAATCTGCTCTAAAACGTAAAATGCAATAAAACTGACATTATTTAATTAGGAAAACTTTTTAAGTGCTCTTAAAAGTAAGATTTATTAAGGACACTATTGTTTTAAGAGAAAAAAAATTTTGAATAATGTATTTTTACAAGAACTGTTTTCATTTGCCCATCATTTTCTTAAATTGTTTTAACAGATAAAGCCTCTGTAGAACAGCAGGAAAGGTGTTGACATATTTTATCATCACTTAAGTGATCTATGAGTGACAAGTGCATAATCACTGCTACTGTTTGTTTTAAAAATCCATTTCTGTTATTTTAAACTTAAAGTGAATTATATTTTTCTTTAAATCAGCCAATATTCCTCAAGCAAAGTTTCATAAAAGCATGAAACTTAATTTTCAAGAAAATATTGTTAAATCAGTAAATTGGTAATTTGTCCATTTATGATAAAAAGCAATACACGTTAATATTTCTTTGCTTATTAATCTCTATGTAGAGATAGCGTCATGACTTTGGGGGAGGAGGAATCTCCACCTGTTTAGCCACTGCTTGTATTGATTTAATACACACCAAAGTTAGCAAAGCAACATTTGACATTGGAAGCAAGAAGTGTGCACCTTGTATTAAGACAACTGAAGAGGCATAGAAACATAGTATTACAAGCCTGTGACAGAGAATGTCTCTGCTAGAGGATATATGCCAGTGGAGTGAAACTAATTCCAATGCTGAAGGAACTGTAAAAGCAAATTCAAAGAGGCAAGGTATTTTGAAAAATTAATATAAAAAACAAAAAACATTGAATAAGAAACTGGGACATTGATATCACCATGATTGAATTGATGAAAAAATCAATTTTTTGCTTGATGTCAACTTGTGACATAAAACAGATAAGATTTAAACTACAAAACCTACAGTTTCAAAACAAGGAGCAACAAAAAAATAATTTGCAAAAGAATATATGGATCTTTGTTTAGGATGCTACTTCCACCTTGATTTGATGAAACTGATCAATATTCACTACAGTTGTTTCAATGGCAGATTGAGTAATGACACTAAATCTGTTAATGAGTGAAAGAAATCAAAAAAAAAAGTGGCACACCCTGATGAAAAAGGGCCCCAAACTTAATAAAAACAACGTTTTATCACGAAAAACTTTATGTTATTAATAAGAGTAGAGACCAAAGTATTTTTAATTATTTTTTAATTTTTTTTTTTCCTTTTAGCACGTTTTAATTTGTAGCTGAAAAATCACCTTTTTTTTTAGGTCTAAGATCACCAGATATTTTGCAATAGCGTTTTTTTTAACTTAAAAAGACACATAAACTTGGAAATTCTTTTAAAAATCAAATAATTGTCGCAATATAGTGAAATTTTCAAGACTTATTTCAAATGACTGAATTTATTGTAGAAAAGTTTGTCTTTTAGAAAACCACAGTACAACTATTTTTTTTTTTTTCGCTTACTACCCACCTTACTTAAGTTTATGAAAACTGTAAAAAACTATATGGGCCGTAAAATTTTATTTTTATTAAATAAAGAAGACTTTGAGGAATATAAATCATAAATTTTTCGTATACATTTTTCAAATAATAAATTTTAGCTCTGAATTTACAAAATAGAAATGCAAGAAAACTAAGAGATTATTCTATGAAAACAGCTTTTAATGGATTTTATCAGTAACACATATTAAGAACTTTTTGTCTGAAGTCAAATTTTTTTACGTTGAAAAATAAATTTTTATTGAGAATTGTTTTTTTTTTTTTTTCATTTCTAAATAGTAAATAATAATATTGATAAATATTTCATAAATAAATTAGATCGCCTGTACCTCGTTTTTTTTTGCTCATTAAAACGATCTATTTTTATAGATTATAAATTACAAAGTTTGTAACAATCTGTGATACGCGATATTTTAAAATAATTTTTTATGATTTCAAAAATGTATTAAAATCATCTCCGACAAAACTACGGATGTCCAAAGATAAATGAAAATTATGCTAGAGTTATACCCCTGATTGATTGAA